ACATGGCCTCATGTTGGGCTGAGCCACCTGACATGGCCTCATGTTGGGCTTTTCATGTTTGTCCTTCTGGTTTCTGTGGGATCTGGGTGCTGTGCCCCCCTTTCTTGTACCTATAGGCTTCTAGCCACCTCCTCTGCAGACCCTGGGTGTCTGTGACAGCTGAAGGGACCCAGGCAGAGGGCACTTTCAGAGATGTGTGGAGTGCAGGGATAGGGTCCTCAGCACCCAGACCTGAGGACTCTGAGGACGCAGATGCTGTAGAGCTGGCTGTTGCAGGGGGAGGTCTGGGCGTTTGAAATTTCTGTGATTAGAGAGTGGCCGTATCCTCCAGAATGGCAGGTGAGGAACTGTAGGGTAGTCTTACTAGGTTAGAATACATCAAGAAGGCTGCCTGTTTTTCGGAACTTTGTTCTGTGGAGCCAGTTGGTAAGCATCCCCAGTTGGCAGTGGGGAGGTGCTGCAGGAGGGCTGCCCTGGGGACTTTGGCAGTGGCACAGGAGGACTCTGAGCTCTCAGTGACTCGCCCCTCTGTCTCTCACAGGTGCTGGATACCTACATGTTTCATTCTTTCCTTAAAGCCCGGCTCAGTAGGAGGATGGATGCCTTTGCTCAGATGGACCTGGACACCCAGTCCGAAGAGGACAGGTGCTTCGCCCTTGGGTTTTGGGTAGTATTATGTGGATAGAAAAATGATCAAGAAAAGTCTTATGCTTTGAAATTTGTAATGAGTGAGGTATCAACAGTCCAGCTCTTCTTGTGCGTCTGTATTTCTCGAGGGGCCTCTGAACACTCCCGGCAGCAGCCGCCCCTGTGCTTTGCTCTCCCCACCACCTTCTCTCTTTGTCCCCATTTTGCCCCCATCCCTGAAGCCTGCTTTGTTCTCCATCCCTCCCCTGATGCTTTTCCTGCTGCGCCTCAAACACGTGCCCCTGCAGACAGGCTCTCGTCGCTTCCCATGCTGTCTCTCTGGGGCCACAGCGGGGCCACACCCTGCACCTGACGCGGTGAGATTCAGGCAACATGTTCTTACCACTCTTTCCTGCTTATGCTCAAGAATGTCGGACACTTAGTTTAGGCTTAGTTTTCAATCATTACTATATCTATAAAGTCACAGCATTGCTTTTTTGTACCCCAGAATAAATGGGACGCTTATAAGTCCACGAAGACCGACTGTTGAGAAAATAGCCTCGAGGAAGCCCTCGGCCTCGCACACCGGCTACCGGCGCATGGTGGTCAGCATGCCCAACCTGCAGGACATAGCCACACCCGAGCTGGTGCCCAGGAACTCGTCACTGCGGCTGCTGGACACTGCGGGCTGCAGGGACAGCAGCACAGGTGGGGAGATGCCCCCGTTTGGTGCTACCTCAGGGTCACACAGTCAGCATCACACATTTTGTTCATTGGAAGAAGCCACAGCTTATTTCAGAAGAAGGGCACGGGCTTGTTTGTTCCTTAGCAGCTTGGTTATTTGAAATTGTTTTAGAATACTCATTTTGCAAGCTGCATTGATTATGGAAAATTATTTCTTGTCTGTGTTTTCTATCATCTGGTGTCACTGCTAAAGACAATAGCTCTGCACGGTTTCAGTGAGTTTCGCACAGATGCGTTGTGCCTGTGCATGTGTGTGCGCATAAAATACATGTTCATGTGCAAAAATGAGTCATGGGATGCAGCAACAATTAGGCCCCTGCTGAGGGCCAGGTGGTGTCTAGAGGCTGTAAAGGAGCCCCATGCCCCGGCCCCCCTGGCGGGGTGTGAGGTGAGCAGGCTCGGGGTGAGTGCTGAGGCTGTGACTGCAAAAGTGACTTTTCAGCAGGGAGGAGGATGTGTGGGGATCTGAGCTGCACGTTCTGTCCATGGTGGTTGGGAGAAGTTGTTGGGAGGCCTGAGGCCACTGGTGGCCGTTGTCTTGGGTTAGGGCAGCAGGTACTGGTGAAGCCTCTGAGTGATACCATGTAAGCCCCACACCTTGATGACCCTTGGGAGGTAGGACCTGGCAGGGCAGTGTGTGCAAGTGAAAAGGCTGTGATGCCCTGTAGAGACTGAGCGTCACATCTCAGACTAAGCAGCCTGGAGGCCAACACTGGGTCTGAGTCTTCTGTGCTGCACTTCCTTGCTGTTTGACCCTGGACAGGTTACTTCACCTCTCTGATCCTGCCATTCCTCTTCTGTATAACCCTTTGGTCTGTGTGTGGCAGGTGCTCTGTGCTTACTCGCCCTGGGAACAAATGTGCTCTGCTTTCTCTGCCCTCTGAGCCTCCACACCAAAGTTCCCTGATCTCTGGGTCTTATGGCCCCCTGGAGCTTTGGGGAGGAGAGGAAACCAGCACCCATTTGGTACTTAGAACCTGGGAGGCCCTTAGTAATGTTTGTAGAAAGAATTGGTGAGGGACACACACCGGGTTTGAGTCTGGCTCTGGCAAGTGTACTTGGAACAAGCAACCTAAGTTAAAGAAGCCTCGGTTTCCACATCTGCAAAATGGGAATTATAACACCCACATCCCAGAGTTGTCTTTAAGGGAAATAAAACAATGATTTTAAGGACATAATCCTGCCTAATGATGAAGCCTCAGGACCAAATGTTTTAATTTAGTAGTAATAGTTTTTTTTTTTTGGAGACAGAGTCTCACTATGTTACCCTCGGTAGAGTGCCGTAGCGTCACAGCTCACAGCAAACTCAATTTCTTGAACATAAGCAATTCTCTTGCCTCAGCCTCCCGAACTGAGGACTACAGATGCCCGCCACAATGACCGACTATATTTTTTGTTGCAGTTGTCATAGTTGTTTTAGCTGGTCCGGGATGGATTTGAGCCCACCAGCCTCGGTGTATGTGGCTGGCACTGTAACCACTGTGCTATGGGTGCCAAGCCTAGTATTACTAGGCACCATTTTAGCAAATGAGCTTGTTCAATGAATACTGGCTCCTGTTATTGTCGGGGTGCTGTGGAAGCAAAATGAGTGGCTGTCATTCTGCCTAGGGCAGGGGGAGCTTTCTGGAAGCGGCCATTGATTCTTGTCCAGAAACATTGCCCTTGACAAAATGCTGCTCCAGACACGTGTCCCTCCTGAGTTGTACTAACTATATGCTTGTGCTCCCTTCATTCCTTAGTTCTGCATGAGGCCCCTAAGCCCACGTACACATTCAAGATTCCAGAAATCCACTTCCCCTTGATGGGCCAGTGTGTCCAGGTGTATTATGCTGACTTTGTGGAGCTGCTGACTAAGGCTATGAGCCTTCTGGCCCCTGAGAACTCTCTGCTCCTGGCCAGATACTCCTACCTGCGAGGACTTGTGTATCTGATGCAAGGACAGCTGCTGAATGCCCTCTCGGATTTCCAGAATCTGTACAAAACAGATATACAGATTTTTCCCGCTGACCTGGTTCGGAGGACGGTGGAGTCTTTGTCCGCTCCTGAGCGCACCCAGGCTGAGCGGATGCCTGAGCTGAAGAGGCTCCTTAGCCAGGTCCTGGATGGGCCGGGGGAGGCCCCAAAGACAGACGACCATGTGAAGAACTTCGAGCTTCCCAGGAAGCACATGCAGCTGGAGGACTTTGTGAGGAGGGTGCAAGAATCGGGCATCGTGAAGGACACCCACGTCATACACCGGCTATTTGAGGCACTGACTGTAGGTAAGAGGATGGAGGACCTGCCACGGGATTTAGACCCTCAGAGACGACAGCGGTGATGGCAGCAGCTAGGTGGGGCTCCTACAGTCATGGGTGAGAGCTCCCATAGCGTGATGGCACTGACCGGACCACAGGTGGGGTGAGCGGCACCGGTGGGCAGGGTCTTGTCTTAAAGCCAAGCCATGCTCTTGGTGGGAGGGAAGGACTCAGGGATGTCTGAGGGGAGCTGGGGCTCTCCTTGTCCCCGGGACATTGATCATTAGACAGAATGGTGGCCTCTATTGAAATGCTTCAAACACACACAAAGGTGTAAACACAATGTGACAAATGTCAGGTGCTCCTCCCACTAAGGACGGCCATCTTTCCCATATTTAGGCAATGATCACGTGTCTTAGATGCGGTCAGAGCCCCATATACCCTTCTCCTCCCAAAGGGAGCTGCCATCCCAAACCTGAACTTCCTTTTCCGACCACTGGCTACAAAGGGGTGTAGGGTGTCCAGATGTGGAGCCTCGGTTTGTGTGCTTGGACACAGCGATGGTGTGTCACAGCCTCTGTGTCAGCTTGCACACCGCTGCTTCTCGGTGTGTGTTTTCAGGATGTACCCAGTGCTGCAAGGAGACGTGGTTCATTCCTCCGACCACCAGTGGGAGGGACACACTTGTTCACCCGCTTGGCTGTTCAGTGGCATCCATTGATTTTACCTTTGCAGACGCTGACACAGGGTGTCCCTGTGCCTGCTTCTCCGGGTGTGTGTGGGTCATCTCCCCCCAGATCTGTGCCCCAGGCTGGGTTTTGAGTACTGTCACTGTCATTGGGGTGTCCTGCCTGTGAGATGCCTGCTTCCTACCTCCTGGTAGCTGCTCTGTCTCCATGGTGGCTGGGACGAGACACCTGATGGCCATCCCAGGGGCATCTGCTCAGTGCTCCCAGGACGCTCAGATCTCTTACTTGTGAGCTGCCCCTCTCCTGTCTTTGTCTGTTTATGTTGGGCTTTCCCTTATTGATTTGTAGGGTCTCTCTGTCTCCAGGATCTTACTCTGTGCCCGGGCTGGAGTGCCATGGCATCACTGTATGTCACTGCAGCCTCAAACTCCCAGGCTCAAGCAGCCCCCCGGCTCAGCCTCCTGAGTAGTAACTTTTAGGAAATAAAGTATTCGATGAACACTAGCTACTATCTGGGCCTGGTTGGGCTATGGGCCCTGTGTGTCCTTCTGTCTGTGTCTCTGCAGCTCTGCCCCATGTCCCCTCTGTCCCCACCCTTCTGCTTCCCTTCAGAACCACCCTGTGGGAAGATTCCTTCACCTTCCCTGTCTTCTCCTTGGCCAGCCTCCCTCACCTTCCTGGAGCTCTCCGCCCTCTTCAAACCCTTCTGTGGGCCGCCCTAACCTTCTCCTGCCCTTCCCACTTCTCTTACTCTGCCTCTGACCCTGGCAGGGTCTCTCCTCCCCCAGGGAATGAGCCTGCCATGAGTGGTTTGGGGATTCTTGAGTTGGCAGCAGAGTGGAAGAATCGAGCTTTGTCAAAAGACCTGACATCAGTGGGAGTTAGGATAAGGGGGGGCCTGTCACCTGTCATGTGACACACTGCCAGAGTCAGGCTGGAAAGTGAACCATGTAACACTGGTTAATAAAAGCCCATTTAATGAGATTTTTATCATTTATGAGGCAAGACTGGCCTGGCCTCTTACCAAGGAGTTTGGGCAAGAGAGTAAGAAGGTGGGAGTCCAGTCCTCAGTGCACACTCTGCCACCGTGTGTTTCTTTTCTTCTTAGAGCCAGTGATTTAAAACTTAAGAAAATATATACATGTAAGCAATATACAATCATTGTAAACCAGTCAGAAAATACAGGTAAGCGAAAAGAGAACAGATTATAGGAATTTGAAATCCCGCCCCCTGGTGGTGGTTTCCACACAAATATCCCAGCCCCTGCAGGCCCCTTGGTGACACCTTCTGTTCACCTGGGTCCCTGCAGTGGCACAATCCTGCTGTGTCTGAGGAAGGTGTACAGTCAGCCCACGACCCCTCTGATGCCCCTTCACAGGGCGGGCCCCTTACAAGCTGCTCTGTGACCACCGAGCTGTCTTAGGCTCAGCTGTGGCCACAAGAACAAGTTTTCTGGTCATTGCTGTCACCACTGACACCTCATTATGGAGTCAGAGCAGGGCCAGGGCAGAGCTGGGACTATGGCACCCTTTGGTGCTTCAGATCGGAGCCTCTGGGCAGGTTGAGGATGAGAGGACCCAGGTCCTGTCCTCTCGTGCAGTGGCGGCAGACCCACACGTGGCAGCACAGCCTGGGTGGACTGTCAGCCTGGCCTCAGTGTTGGCTCTACCAGCAAGGAGCGTTCCTCTCCATGCCTCAGTTTCCCAATTTGTGAACGAGCCTGATGGTAGTGTCCACCTCATAAGGTGCTTCAGAGGATTAAATGTGATCCCGTGTATGTCTGGAGCACAGTTCTCAGTCCATCCAGTGTTTCTGGATATAGTGGTGCCCTAAGGGAAGTGTGTGTATACCTCAGCAGTGTCCTGGCTGAGACAACTCTGCCTTGTCAGGGAAGGCTGCACATGGGCATGTTTATCTGGGTATTGAGGGATGGATAAGAGTTTTCTGGTCTGAGCAGCCAAGAGAAGTATGTGTGTGCAGAGAGATTTAACAACATGGCTTCTTTTGGAACATACTTGGTATGGCTAGAATGTAGGTGTAAAGGGGAGGAGGGGCCTGATCCTGGAGGAATTTGGGGCTTGGTATAGAAAAGGAGCCTGAAGGTCTGAATGAGGGAGTGGGAGCTCTGTTCTGGGTTCTAAGCAAAGCAGGCTGCAAGCAGGGGGCTGTGAAGGCAGGCGCCATAGAGGAGCATTTTCCTGGACAGGATTGAGGGAACTTGCCTTTTAAGGGACAGAGAAAGGAATAGCCTTTGGGATACAGAGGCAGACCTGAGCCAGGGCCAGGGCCAGGGCAGGTGCAGGGAGACATGAGGGGGTCAGAATTGGCAGGAATTATTAGCAGCTGTGTGGGATTTGAGGGGGTCACCCCACCTCCGGTTCACAGTTATGGAAGCAGGTTGTCTTGCCTGAAGTCACACTGCTAAGCTGCAGTGAGGCTGGGCTTCAGACTTGGGTTCTCCCCAACTTCAGAGCCCATGACTATCAGGCATTTGTAACCAAGATGATCTTGATGAAAATAATAAAAGTAAACTACATGTTCACAGCTGAGCAGTACTGAGGTAGGGCAGGTCCCAGGCAAGGCTGATGCAGTGGTGTGGGTGTGTCCCCAAGCACTGGTCTCTCCAGTGTAAGCTTGGTCCTGGAACTCGCTCCCCTGTGGCTGCAGGATAGTGGCCACAATTCCAGTGATGAGGAAGGTCTTTGCACCATAAGAAAAGAGAGTGTCCTTGTCCAGAGCTTCCAACTCAAATCCTAAGAGTTGTTGTGACTGCCTGGCCTGGGGCTGGAAAGTGCATGAGGCTCAGCCTAGATTGTGTGTCCACTCGGGGCTGCAGGGAAGGCGCCTTCTGTGAGGTATTTTCCCTCCAGACAGCCCCACGTGCTGACATAAGGGGTAAGGAGCCATTTCTGAAGGTCAAGCACAAGATCTTAGAAGTCCTCCTTTCCTTTATAAAACTAAGGGCAGCAGAAACAAATTGACCCAGAGACATTCAGAGATTTCTACAACCGCTGGAAGGAGACAGAGGCCGAGGCCCAAGAGGTCAATCTGCCTTGGCTGGTGATGGAACATCTGGATAGAAATGAGTGCGTTTATAAGCTGTCGAGCTCCGTCAAGACAAGCCTCGGCGTCGGCAAAATCGCCATGACCCAGAAGCGCCTGTTCCTCCTGACAGAAGGGAGGCCAGGCTATGTGGAGATTTCCACCTTCAGAAATATAGAGGTAAGGGGAGCACAGACCCGCATTCCTGGGGCCCACGCATGCCTAGGAGGGAGCAGCCGGAGTGGACCACTGGTACCCGCCGCACCCTCTGCCGGCCACTGGCCATCTTGTTCCTCAGTTTGCTCATCTGTGCAATGGCAGCAATCCTGGTACACTCCTAGCAGGTTGTGGTGAGCATGGAGTAGGTTAAATGCGTGACACGCTCAGGTGGTAACTGTTACTGAATGGCTGATACAATGAACTTGCATTTGGGAGGTGAGGAGTAATAGGTGATGCAGGCTGAACTTGTAATTAGAGCAAATAGGAAACTCATAGAAATTAACAGGAGAAACTGCCATGGACCAGCCTCTGTGAGCTGCTGTATCTCACATTTTCTAATCATGTTTCTACCTGGCGCAGGTTGTTTATTTTATAATAATTTAAAAATTTCCTAACCATTTTTTTTTTTTTTTGAGAAAGAGTCTCAAGCTGTCACCCTGGGTAGAGGTGGTGTCTCAGCTCACAGTAACCTCAAACTCTTGGGCTTAAGTGATTCTCTTGCCTCAGCCTCCCAAGTAGCTGGGACTGTAGGTGCCCACCACAACACTTGGCTATTTTTTTGTTGTAGTTGTCGTTGTTTGGCAGGCCTGGGTTCAAACCTTCTAGCCCTGGTGTACGTGGCTGGTGCCCTAGCCGCTGAGCTATAGGCGCCAAGCCACTTTGTTTTGTTTTGTTTTTGTTTTTTTTTAGACAGAGTCTCACTTAGTTGTCCTGGGTAAAGTGCCATGGCATCATAGCTCACAGCAACCTCAAATTCTTGGGCTCAAGCAATTCTCTTGTCTCAGCCTCCTGAGTAGCTGGGACTACAGGAGCCCACCATGATGCCCGGCTATTTTTAGATATGGAGTCTTACTCTTGGTTAGGCTGGTCTTAAACCCATGAGCTCCAGCAATCTGCCCACCTCAACCTCCCAAGCTCTAGGATTACAGGCGTGAGCCACCGAACCTAGCCCAGCAGTTTTAACATTATATTTTAGAGATAGTCATTTGCCCCGTTGAAGAAATCTGATTTGTGGGCGGTGCCTGTGGCTCAAAGGAGTAGCGTGCCAGCCCCATATGCCAGAGGTGGCGGATTTAAACCCAGCCCTGGCCAAAAACTGCAAAAAAACAAAAAAAAATCTCATTTGTGACCTTGATTCATCTTATGCCTTATAGTTATCTCCCCCAATTTAGGGGGACTCTAAGAGGCACGCTGGACATGTCAACATCCTGTACTTTCAGCTGCTGAGTGGTCATGGGAGCAGGGAAGGAGGGGACACCACAGCCCAGCCCACAGCAGGTGCTGGGCCAGCGGACCTCTCTCGGGCTGTTTTCCTTCAGTTTGCTTTCCTCCACCTGCTTTGGAATTTCAAAGAGAGAGAAATATTTGAGGATGTGAATGAATGTACCACTTTTATGTGTTGGGGGCCTGAATGTGTATGGTCCGTACAGACACTAGTGACAAGTCACACCTGCCATCTTCCAGGGGATGGATGTCCTGAGCAGCTGACAGGAAGGCGGTGGTTGACACCACCTCTTCCTAATTTCAACACTTTTTTTCTCTTGCTTTTTCTTTTTCTTTTTTTTGAAACAAAGTCTCTCTATGTCGCCCTGGGTAGAGTGCAGTGGTGTCATAACTCACAGCAACCTCAAATGCCTGACTCAAGAGTTCCTCCTGCCTCCCGAGTAGCTGGGACTATAGGCTAGTTTTTCTATTTTTAGTAGAATGGGGTCTTGCTCCTGCTCAAGCTGGTCTCAAACTCCTGAGCTGAAGCAATCCACCCTCCATGGCCTCCCAGAGTGCTGGGATTATAGGCGTGAGCCCCTGCACCCGGCCTGCACCTGGCCTCCCAGAGCGCTGGGATTATAGACATGAGCCCCTGCACCCTTCTTTTGCTTTTTCTTCTCTTTAATCCACATGTTCTTTGCATATGATTCTACTTAATTCTCTTTTCTTTCTGTCCCTCTGTAGGAAGTCAAAAGTACCACAGTCGCTTTTCTGCTTCGGAGAATACCCACTCTGAAAATTAAAATGGTGTCCAAGAAAGAAGTCTTCGAAGCTAACCTTAAATCAGAGTGTGACCTTTGGCACTTGATGGTGAAGGAGATGTGGGCAGGGAAGAAGCTGGCCGATGACCACAAGGTCTGACCACAAGTGGCGTCTCCCCTGCCCTTTCCCAAGCCCAGACACTGCTTATCTGTCAGCTCAGTGGCTCCAGCCTCGGCCCTCCAAGTAGAATAAGTTGGTTAGATGAGGTCCCGGCAGGAGGCACTGAACAGGTTGTGGTTTTCATGACCCAGCAGAAGGTGTGGCCCTGGGAAGGCCGTGATAAGGAAACGCAGATGCTGGCCGGGCTCTGGTGCCGTGGGCAGTGCTGCCCTGCATTTTCTTATCCATTTCCCCACACCTCACAGTGGCGTCCCAGCAGGTGGAGGGCTGGGAGCTGCGCTGTGCTGACCTTGTCCCCTCTGCAGGTCAGGCCTTCTGGGTATACCCTGTTCTGAGCCTCCAGTACTTGGCAAGGCCAGCACTGGACTCCTCCAACAGGGTTTACGTGCTGATTTACAATTTGCAACAAATTGATGGGCGTCCCATAGTGATGGAGGACACCCTGGGCAGAGGTACTTTGTGAAGGTCCACGTGCTGCCTGAATGGCAAGACAAACAGCAGAGACTGCGAACGGTGACCCACACAGGCCACAAGGTTACAGAGACGTGTAGCACCATGAATCATCAGAGAAATGCCGGGCACGATGGCACCGCCATAATCTCCATGCAGGGAGTGCAGGCCGTCACCCAGTGTCAGGACAGCCACCATCCCTGACAAGATGTTACTGGTCACAGGGGCAGGGCTCTGGCCCTTCCTGAGGTTCCAGTGTTCTGTGATTTTTTTCTTATTTTATATTATTTTATTTTTTTAAGAGACAGAGTCTCACTTTGTAACCCTCAGTAGAGTGCTGTGGCATCACAGCTCACAGCAACCGCCAGCTCTTGGGCTTAGGTGATTCTCTTGCCTCAGCCTCCCAAGTAGCTGGGACCACAGGCGCCCGCTGCAATGCCCAACTGTTTTCTTGTTGCAGTTTGGCCAGGGCCGGGTTTGAACCTACCACTCTCCGTATATAGGGCTGGCGCCCGGCTTACTGAGGCACAGGCACCACCCGTGTTCTGTGATTTTTGCACTTAGCATAAACCGGCACAAACTGTGGCCAGTGGGTTGGTGGAGGACCGTTTCTGTAAGTTAAGTTTTACTGGCACACAGTAGTGCCTGTTCCTCTGCCGATGTTCACAGCTGCCTCCGTGCTGCCATGGCAGGCACTGTGGAGTTGTCACTGACAGATTTTATGGCACACCAAGCCTGAAATGTTTACTCCCTTGCCTGTATAGAAAATGTTTGCCAAGCCCTGGTATAAACAATTTATATCTGTCATCACTAAGCAAAAAAAAAATGATGTCACATAATTCAAACTCATCGTTCACTTAAACTCTTCACATTGCTTTGAAAAATGCAATTTTAGAATTATTGTTTTAGGCCATGTGACAAGGTGAGTAATTCACTAATTGTAGCGATTATTCTTGTGTTGAAATGCACCTGTTTCTGTCCCAGGACCCTCAGTACATCCAGCAAGCGGTGACCAACGTGCTGCTGATGGATGCTGTGGTCGGCACCCTGCACTCCCAAGGGGCTATTTACGCTGCCTCCAAGTTATCTTACTTCGACAAGTTGAAGCATGAACGTAAGACGGGCATGCATCCGCCGTGATAACGTCTCCAGTGGTTTTATCTGCTTGATATTTGTTATATTAGAACTGATCCCAAACTTCCTAAGTTTTTCTTTTATACTTTCTTTTATACTTGCAATTTGTTTTTGAAGACCACACATTGTTCTGCATCTTTCCTTCTTTTTACTTAGCTGTGGAGCTAAGAGCTCTCAGAGCTCTTTGCTTATGAGGCATGTTGGGGCACCTCGTAACTTGGGCGTCTGGTGACCCTCCAGGGTATGTCGTGAGGGCTTTGTTGTGATTCCTAGTTGCAGATGGTAGAATTTCCTCTGAAGTAAGTGGAACAGAAACCCATGGAATGATCTGGTGGTTCGCGCAATCTCTGGGCCAGTCAGAGCTGGTCTTGGCCGCCTGCAGGCAGGACACACCACTGGGAAGCGGGCCTGTGCATGGCTGGCCTGCTGGCTGGTAGACTTCCCCACTCATGAGGTAGGAGAGGCCCCATGTCCAGATCTCTGTTTTCTCGAGCTGCTCAGTTCCCCTAGACAGGAGGGATGCAGTCCCCTCGCTTCAGGGTTGCATCCAACTCTCACATACAGAGTTTGGGGTCGCTCAAAAAAGGTGATTTTCAAGTCTAAGATTTTCTAGTTTTTTATGACTAAGTAACATACAGTGCTTGGACACAGTACATTTTATTGTCCATCAGTTGGACATTTGGGCTGGAGTGAGTGACGCGGCTGTGAGCGCGCATGCCCACGTCTCCATGAGGATGCTGCTCTCACTCTGCTTAGGCAGATACTCAGGGGACGCTGGCTTTTTAACAGGTGGTCCCAGAATTAGGAGAAACAAACCTCAGGGGTGTGTGTGTTCACTTTGTCGCGTGTTACCCTGTTTGTGATGTCTGTCATGACCCGGGGGAACCCTGCTAACTTCCTGGTCACAGTGTCCTTCTCTCATGAGACCCAGGGGACCTCAAACTACGGAAGCTGGATGCTCAGGGTGTCTAGGTCGCCACAGACCTGCTGGGGTGACCCGGGGCACTTTTGGTCCATAGTTCCAGAACCAGACATCAATCGCCCTTCACTATCCTTGCTTAGAAGCAAAGTCAAATAAGCCCCACACTCCAGATATTGATGTTGCTCCAAACTTATACCTAATCTTTATGCAGGGTTTCCAGAAAAGTCTTCTAACGCCTCTGTAAATAATTTCCAGAGTTGCAGTGGTGACACTGGAAAATGACAGCTCCCCCTCAGTCATTGCCCCCCTGTTGTGACGGCAAAGGAGGAGGCGTCCGAGCTCAGGGGCCTGTGTGTCAGTCTGAAGTTACGTGACACGGGTCCTGAAACTAATTTTATACCTATGGTCAACTCATGACAGACGGTCTAAAAATGTACAAAACTAAATACAGAAGTCCTGGCGACTCGAGTCGTTGATAGAGAAGCCCATCAGCTCCCACTGTGTTTTTATGCAGCCACCAGGCCTCGTGTGGTCCCGCCCGCCCTGCTCACAGTGTGACCTGAAGTTGCCACCAAAGATCGATTTCAGTTTTCTCATCTTTCTCTTTGTAAAATGGGGATCAGTCTCACTTGGTCGTGTGAGTGTAACAAGATACAGGCACAGGGGAGTGGGTGGGCCGTTAATGGACAGACTGCAGTGATTGGCAGTGGGGCGACCCTGCAGCACCCAGAGGTCGCCAGAGGGGCCACACCACAGAAGTCTGGTCCCAGGGAATCCTGTCCTGGGCCATTGAGGTTTAGTCTGGGAACATTGCTAGATTTTACTGCAAGAGAGGAATGGAAAGGCCACCCTCAGGTATGGTGGTTTTTATCTGGGGGTGATTTTGCACCCCACCCCTGGGGAGCATTTGGTGATGGTTGGAGATATTTTTGTGTGTATGTGGGGGTGGAGGGGGAAGTGTTCTCAGCATCTAGTGAGCAGAGATTGAGGACATTGCTCACACCCCATGGTGTGCAGGATGAAGCCACCACCCCCGGGTGGGGGCGGGGCAGAGAATGATACAGCCCAAAATGTTCTGAGGGTGAAAGGCCATGCCTGGGGCTCTGGAAATGCATCCTTATGAGAAGTGTTTTGAGTCTCTGCCCTTCTAGGTGGTTGGGTGTGGGTGAAGGTCAAGGTAGGTGGCTTAGTGCTAAAGAGAGGGTGGCAGGAGGCCTAGAGAAGTGTGGGGGGCTTTCCTTCCAGCCCCCCAATTCACAAGTTGTGGAGGTTCCCCACAAAGTGGTGTTCTGAAGAGGACAGATTTATGAGGCTGTGACAGCATTAGCACCTTGCACCTGGGACGGGACTGGAGCACTCACAATGTCTGTCTTTCAGTGCCCATGGCAGTCCCAAAGACGACCTCAGAAACACTGAAGCACAAAATCAATCCTTCAGCTGGGGAAACAGCCCCGCAGGCCATTGACGTCTTGCTGTACACGCCAGGTAAAGAGATCGCTTAAGTGTTCATTGCTGGTATTTTAAAAAGCAATGTGATAAATTTAGATTTGAGTCCAAGGTCAGCCTTGAAGTCAGAGGAGACACCATCGCATCGTGGCATAAACAGGGGAAGGGCCTGCTTCTGTCACCCGGGCTGGAGCACAGCAGCACAGCCACTGCTCACCGCAGCCTCCAACTGCTGGGCTCAAGCCATCCTCCCACCTCGGCCTCCCAAAGTGCCAGGACTACAGGTTCAAGGCCCGTGCCTGGTCCTTCTTTGCTTTTTGAGGCAAAGTGCATATTTGGCGGGGAGCCCAGGAGAGATTAGGACAGGCCAGCACCTGCCTCACAGTCCTCACGCTCTGTAGCAGCTGATGGTAACAAATCTACCTCATTATCTGTAAGGCTTGGATGCAGTGTAAAAACATCCGGAAGAAGAAAGAGGCTGCTTTTCCCACAAAGCAGCTGCCACTTCCAAGGAGGTGACTGAGAGCCGGTGGCCGACACAGCCTTTGCTGGCTGTATGGGACTGAGGGACAAAACCCACAGTCAAGACCCCCAAGAAGGGCCCCGGTTAGCCCTGGCCTTGCATCACGTTGCCAGAGGACTCCCCGGGAGTTAGAAGAGCTAACCAGAGGCCTGGACTGGGTGGAGAGTGTGTCTCGGGGGCAGTGTCTCCCCAAGGAAACTGGCCAGCCAGGGCAGTCAGCGCCCCCAGAAAGCCCGGCAGAGGTGCACTTGCTGACTTTGCCCCACAGGCAGAGCAGGCTGGGCAGGCAAGGCCACCTTCCTGGCTGACGTGGACGCTGTTTCCATGTAGGAAAGGTAGGACTGAGTGCCTCTGCCTGCCCACAGTGCTCACTTCCAAGGGGGTGAAATCTAAGTGTGAACGGTAAAAGCAAACACACATAAATAACTAAAGCAAATATATTTCTAGAGGACATTAGGGGAGAACGTATTCATTACCCCTTGACATAAAACAACTACCCTAAAGGAAAAGACTGAGGAATTTGACTACAGTAAAAATAATGATTTTAGAAAGATGCTTTTAATAGAGTGAAAATGCAAGTTACAGAGTAGGAGAAGATGTTTACAGCACAACCGAATTAGTCAGCATTTTAGATCAAGAATAGGAAGGCTAACCTGGCAGGGTGGTGGCACCTGTAGTCTCAGCTACTTGGGAGGCAGAGGCAGGAGGATCACTTGAGCCCAGGAGTTCGAGGCTGTGTTACCCTTTGATTGCACCACTGTACTCCAGCCTGGGCAACATAGCAAGACCCCATCTCAGCAACAACAAAAAGAATAACAGAATAGGCAGGTTTGGTGGCTCACATCTGTAATCCCAGTACTCTGGAAGGCTGAGGTGGGAGAATCGCTTGAGCTCAGGAGTTTGAGACCAACCTGAGCAAGAGCAAGACTCTCTACTAAAAATAGAAAAACTAGCCAGGTGTTGTGATGGGTGCTTGTAGTTCCAGCTACTTGGGAGGCTGAGGCAGGAAAGATGATTGGTTAAATCCAGGGATCCAAGGTTGCTGTGAGGTAGTCTGACACCATGACACTCTAGCCTGGGTGACAGAATGAGACTGCCTCAAAAAAAAAAAAAAAAAAAAGAAAGAAAAAAGAAAAAGAATAAAGAACAACTACAAATTAGGGAGAATGAGACAACCCAATCAAAAATTGGCAAGAGGTGTAGATGCTTCACAAAAGAGGATATTCAATGAGCTAATTAAAGCATCAGCCTCATTAGCAATTATGGAAATACAAATGAAATCACAGTTAAAGAGCAGAATCTTAACACACTTAGCATGGACGCGATTAAACAGATTGACACCACCAAGCGTTGGGGAAGGTGTGGAGCTGGGTTCTGCTGTGCTCTGGGGTTCTGCTGTGCTCTGGGGTTCTGCTGTGCTCTGGGGTTCTGCTGTGCTCTGGGGTTCTGCTGTGCTCTGGGGTTCTGCTGTGCTCTGGGTGCCGGTGTGAGCTGTGGAAGCTCCGGGGCTCTGCAGTGGTCTCTCCAACTCTGCAGGTCTCTCTGCAGTGGAACTCTCCCACTTCTGTGCCTGGGCTCCCTTCTTCTCTCCTGTGCCCCCTAGGTGCCCTGGCTCTGATCTTGTCTGTCTGAGTTGCAGGAGGTGGGCAGGGTCAGGTATGCTTGTCTTGGTTTCCAGCACCTAGCACGAGAGACCCAGTGAACACCTCAGGAATGGCAAGAGTCACCTGCTGACTCACCAAAGCTACTCCTCCTGTGATCCCAGCACTCTGGGAGGCCGAGGTGGGAGCATTGTTTGAGTTCAGGAGTTTGAGACCAGCCCAAGCAAGAGCGAGACTCTCTACTAAAAATAGAAAAACTAGCCAGGTGTTGTGATGGGCGGCTGTAGTCCCAGCTACTCGGGAGGCTGAGGCAGGAGAATTGCTCTAGCCCAGGAGTTTGAGGTTGCCATGAGCTAGGCTGATATGGTCCACCTACAGTCCCAGGTAGGTGGACTCTACCTGGGCAGTACAGTGAGATTCTGTCTCAAGAAAAAAAAATGCTGCTCCTTCAGATGTTTGGGGGTTGATTGTTCTCTAGGGCACCTTGATCCAGCAGAGAAAGTCGAAGATGCTCGCCCCAAACTGTGGTGCGCCCTGGACAACGGCAGAGTGATTGTGTACGACGCTTCCTCCTGGACGGTCCATCAGCACTGCTTCAAAGTGGGCACTTCCAAACTGGTGAGTGCTACACACCCCCGGATATGGGGGCGTGTCAGCCACCCTGGGCAGCAGGGCACACACAGCACCACTCAGCTTCAGTAATAGGAGAACTTTAATCTTGATCTTGAGTTTTAAATTAAATGTAAGCTGGTTCCAGCCGAATGCTCACACATCCTTATCTGAGGGAGAAGACAGTGCTTCTGCCCCATCTAGGATGACTTCAGTAACCAGGAGGAGCTAATCTCCTGCTGCCCAGCGCTGGCCACACTCACCCCTTGGGAACAGTGTCTCACACTCCTGCCCCAGGGCCCGGTTTCCCCTGGAGCGACACCTTAAAATGAGACACCCTGTGAGAACCAGTGCTCAGCGGCCAGACCCTGCCTGAGTGGCATCCACTCGCCCCTGTACAGGCAGGGGACAGGGCAGGGTCCAGCAAAGCTTCATACATCTTCCTTTACTTAGCAGCAAGCTTGAATTTTTTCTGATAATTTTATAAGTGCAACTGTTAATACATTTTTAGTGATATGTTGTGGGCACTACCACAGCGTTACCTCCTTTGTAACCATGGTAGCTGGAGCGTGGGACCTGGCCCCTGTCTCGCTGGTCTCCCCGGCCCCGGGCAGCCCCTCCCTGAGTGGCTGCTCCTCCCAGTGCTCACCCAGTGTGACACATCCTGCCACAGCGTCCTTCCATGTTGTCTGGCAGGGCCCTGCCCTGGGGCTCCTGTCCTCTGCCCATGTTCCTGCTGTCTCTCAGGGTGTCCCTCATGTCACACATTTGAATTGCATCCTATATTTCTCCAAGTATTTTCACACTGATGCTTCTACTGTCTGCTGGGCTTTGTCCTGGTCAAGACACTCACTCCCTGCATATGAAGGAAGCTCCTGCCCCCAGGATCCTGCTAGGGAAACCCTACCCTCTCCCCTGGACATGATAAAGCCTATTTAAAAAAATATGTTTAGGCTCGGCACCTGTGGCTCAAGTGGCTAACGCGCCAGCCACATACACCTAAGGTGGAGAGTTCTAATCCAGCCTGGGCCTGCCAAACAACAATGATAGCTACAACCAAAAAATAGCCAGGCGTTGTGGCGGGCACCTGTGGTCCCAGCTACTTGGGAGGGAGAGGCAGGAGACTCACTTGAGCCCAGGAGTTGGAGGTTGCTGTGAACTGTGATGCAACGGCACTCTACCCAGGGGGACAGCTTGATGCTCTGTCTCAAAAAAAAAATATGTTTAATGTGAAAAGAATGATCTAGTGACATGTATGTACCAAAGTATATGGCAGGCACTGTTGGGTGAGAGTTACGTTCCCACATCTAAAAATAATGTGACAGGCGTGGCAGCACGGAATGTGCTTTCAAAACTGTTATAAAACAGAAATAGTATGAATTCAAATACATTTTGCTGAGAGGGTGGAGATCACTCTTATATGCTTGAATGGCAAACTTTACATGTTAGCAAGATTATAAGAAATTGCTAAATTATTTTCCCCCATATTCAAATAATGGGCCTCACATGATAAAGTAACAGGACCCACAGTTACGGTCCATCAAAACTTCTAAAAAGCCTAATGGTGCTTTAGACCAACCCAAAACAAAGAAAGAAGGAGTTAAGGAAATTGTTCTTATTCGAAATTTAATTTTTTCTATTCTTAGTTCTAAGCCTCTCAAAGACTTTTAAATGATAGAATAACGTTAAAAATCCTAGTTGAAATAAAACCAAAAGGTTGCATTTTATAGCAGTCTCTACTGCCTTCCAACTAGGCCAGGTAACATTTAAAGCAACAAGTTATCCCAATTATGTGAAAATGTCTTCCTGCTAGTTTTACAGAAATATTTCATAGCATTTAATAAGGAATAAAGACAGATACTATTTCATGACAATGCTGCCTTCTTTGAAATTTGAAGTTCAAGATATTTCATCTAAGACATTTTATCTTTTTTGAAACAGTCTCACTTTGTCACCCTCCATAGAGTGCTATGGTGTCACAGCTCACAGCAACCTCCAGCTCTTGGGCTTAGGCAATTCTCTTGCCTCAGCCTCCCGGATAGCTGGGACTACAGGCGCCTGCCACAACACCCGGCTATTTTTTTGTTGTTGTTGCAGTTTGGCTGGGGCCGAGTTTGAACCTACCACCCCTGGTATATGGGGCTGGCGCCCTACTCACTGAGCCACTGGCGCTGCCCGACATTTTATCTTAATACTAATTTGAAACCTGCAGGTCAACAACAACGTGCTCACATGATAGAAAAACTCAGCTGAATCTGGAGGTTTGGCGGGGCCTGCCCACAGGGACACTGTGCAGGAGCAGGGCCCGCTCCAACTCCACCTGACAGATGCTGACAGTGTGACCTGACTGTACTCATATGATCTGAAATTTTAAAAAAAATGATATCTTTAGGCCACTAAAGAAAGATATTTTATTGAAATTATATCAATCCTCAATTAGATATCTAAAAAGAAAGGGCTCTATGAAGTAATTCTGAAATCAGCAAGTTCATGCCCTTTTCTATATTATGAGAATACTTACTGCTATAATTAAAATTATTAATTTTGTAAGAACTTTCTTCTGACTTAAAAATAAGTAACAATTAACCACCATCAGTATTGGTCATATCTGGTACTATAGCAGAGTCCCCAACTGTCCTGCCACCAGGGACTAGTTTCATAGATCACAAGTTTTCAGTGAACCAAGGATGGGGCAGAAAGATAGTTTTGGGATGATTCAAACACATTACATTTATTGTGCACTGTATTTCCATTTTGTTTTCTTTTTTCTTTTGAGACAGAGTCTCAAACTGTTGCCCTGGTTAGAGTGCTGTGGCATCACAGCTCACAGCAACATCAAACTCCTAGGCTTAAGTGATTCTCTTACTTCAGCCTCCTAAGTAGCCAGGACTACAGGTGCCCGCTATAATGCCTGGCTATTTTTTGGGTTGTAGTTTTCACTGTTGTTTGGCAGGCCCAGGCTGGGTTCAAATCCACCAGCTCCAGTGTATGTGGTCGGTACCTTAGCCACTGAGCTCAGGTGCTTTTTCTTTTGAGACAGAATCTCACTTTGTCCCTCTGGGTAGAGTGCTATGCCATTGTAGCTCCCAGTAACTTCAAACTCTTGGGTTCAAGCAAGAACCCAAGAGTTCTCCGTCTCTTAAGTAGCTGGGACTATAGGCCCTCGCCACAGTGCCTGGCTAGTTTTTAGAGACAGTCTCTGCTCTTGCTCAGGCCAGTCTTGAACACCTGAGCTCAGGCACTCCTCCTCCTTGGCCTCCTAAAGTGCTAGGATTACAGGCATGAGCCAGGGTGCCCAGCTTTCTTTCTGTTATTGTTACATTGTGATATACTGTACAGTGAAATATTGTACACCTCACTGTGATGCAGAATCAGTGGGAGCCCTGAGCTTATTTTCCTGCTACTAGGCAGTCCCACCTGGGGATGTCCTCAGCTCCACCTCAGAACATCAGGCATTAGATTCTCATAAGGAGCACAGCAACCTGGATCCCTCATACACACTGTTTACAATTCATGCTTCTATGAGAATCTGATGCCATCGGTCTGACAGGAGGCAGAGCTCAGGCGGTGATGCCTGTGATGGGGAGTGGCTGTAAATACAGACGGAGATTCACTCACTGGCCTGCCCACTGCTCCCTTGCTGTGCAGCCCAGTTCCTAACAGGGCTGGGACCACAATGATACTGTAGGTAGTTCTCAACACGCCTTGATGTGATGTAACTTTTACTCTTTGAAATCTCTTTGCATTTGGAAATCTGAGACATTTATTTGGTCATCAGCAAAATGTCACACATGTCATGGGGGGAAAGATAATGATAAAACAAAAAGCAAAGCAGCTAAATGTCCTCCCCGACTGGGCCCAGGGTAAGGTAAGTATAGGGAGAGCTGCTCTGAGCTGCCAGTGGAGATGAGCTGGGTGGTCAAACTTCTATAACTCTGTGTTTTGATGCTTAGTTTATTATTTCTGCCTTTGTGAAGTCAGAGCCCTGAGGACATCCCCTCTAGCTGAGACCATAGGTTAAGGTGACCAGATTTTAACATTGGTAAAGCACGACACCATTGATGGGGGGGAGGTTCTTAATTAAAAATTTGGTCTATATGGAGCAACAAAAATTTTCATAGAACGCAAAAATAGTATTGTAATATATATTTTTTAATTTCAACATAAGTACAATTTACAAATACAATACATTAAAAATTATATATAGTATTTTATTCTTTGGCATATTTCTCATTTGAGCGAATTTTTTTTTTTAGTAGATTGCTGTCGTTGTTTAAAAGGTCATGACATTTTTCACAAGAATTTGTTAAATTATATTTCACACATAAAATGGCTTTCAAAGTCTCAACACTTAATTGTGATTTTTCTGATGTCCACACTTTATTTACTGTAGAAAAAACGCATTCAGTTGCAGCATTAGTTCCTGGTAAGGACAGCACGTATCCCACAATTTTTAGTGCATTATTGTATGGAACATGGTTTTTTTCAAAAATGATGAAATATTTCTAACCATTTGTTCTCTATTGTGATTTTTGCTGATGCCCAAGATTTAACCTTTTCCTTATCAATATATTTTTTTAATAATAATACCTTGTAAGTCGTAAGTGTCACTTTCAAGGCCAGTGCTAGGCTTTTTGCCGCCACTATAAAATATAAATAATACAAGTTCTGTCTGCTAAATTCATGAAATAAATAAATAACTGACTTACCTAAATTATCTGAATAGCTGATTTATTTAACTAGCACTAGCACTTGTTTAACTAGCACTTGTTTAACTAGCACTAGCATGCAGTATGATGTGTATCCTCTGAGAGACAGTGACAAAATGTTTTCAAAGTTGCCAATGCCAAAAAATGCCATCGTTCTTTAAGTCCAAACAATGGTAGTGGAATTCTGACAACTGATCAACAATGTGAACTTTGATAAGCAGTTCTCAGGAATCAGTTCTCAACAATTATTTGTTATTAAAGTTTAACATTATAAAATTAACAAGGATAATATAAACTCATATCCTGGCGAATTAGCCACATGGCAGCTGAAACCATATATTCCCTTCCTGTTCTCCTGCTTTTCCCTAGTTTGTCATGCATTCTTTCCAAAAATCAGGACTTTCTTAAAATGCCGCAGGATACAGGACAAATTGTTAAAAATTGGGACTGTCCCACCAAAAGTGGGACATCTGGTCACCTTAGCATAGGTACTTGGTGGTGATACGCAGTTGATGCTCATTATTTGGAGATTCTGTATTTGCCAATTTGGCTACCTGCTTAAATGCACATGTGACCTCCCAAATACTCAGGGCGCTTTCTCAGTTACCCACAGGCATGTGTGTGCAGAGTGAGAGGGCGTGTGCACTGCCCCCCTCGCACGTTCCCAGCCGGGGCGGGCAAGGCAGCACTCTGCCTCCGCACTCAGCTCACACTGTCAACAAGCATCCTTTCCATGGCCTGTTTAGTACCATGGTTCTCACATTTTTGTGCTTTTCTTTGGAAATTTTGCTGTTTAAAATGACCCTGGGCTGGGCGAGGTGGCTCATGCCTGTAATCTCAGCCCTTGGGAGACTGAGTCAGAGTTCGAGACCAGCCTGAGTTAGAGCGAAACTCCATCTCTAAAAATAGCCAGGTGTTGTGGCAGGCACCTGTAGTCTCAGCTACTTGGGAAGCTGAGGCAAGAGAATTGCTTGAGTTGGAAGCAAGAGTTGGAGGTTGCTGTGAGCCATGATGCCACATCACTTTACCAAGGGTGACCAAGTGAGACTCTGTCTCAAAAAAAACAAATAAATAAAATGATCCTAAGCTAGGGTGACCAGACGTCCCGCTTTTGAACATTTGTCCGGTGTCCCGCGGCGTTTTTAAAAAGTCCCGATTTTTGGAAAGATTGCACACACGGGCGGGAGAACAAGAAGGGAATATACGATTTTCGGCTGCCATGTGGCTATTTCGCCAGAATATGAGTTGTATATTATTTTTGTTAATTTTATAATGTTAAACTGTAATAATAACAAATAATTGCTAAGAAGTGATTATTAAGAACTGCTTATCGGCTCGGCGCCTGTGGCTCAAGTGGCTAAGGCGC